TTCCTCTTGTGAAGTACTCTCTTCCTTCACCTCCTTGATCCGGCGATTCGGTTTCCGGTTCTTTGATTTCTCTCCAGCTCGACACACAGTGATTTTTTCCTTTGCAACGATGACATCTTTTGCCGAGTGTAGGGCACACACCTTTAACAAACTCGTGGCTGTCCCCGCAGAACATGCAGCGTTGTGCTTTCAATGGCTTCGAACGATTCATTTTCTTTACTTTGTTGACTTCCGTTCCGGGTCCCAGAACACCTAGCTCCTGCGAGCGCCTGGCTGTTATCTCCTCCGCACGACACAAATCGACAGCCTTCATCAAAGTGATATCAGCAATCGATGGGCTCACGACTTGCTTGCGTTGCCGAGAAAAAATCGAACCGATCAACGATCACGTTGCGCTTTGAGACCACTTTCTCTTTGATGGCAAGCAGAGCTGCTAGAGGATTTGCCTTCTCCTCCGTGGTGAGTTCAAAATTGAAATATTTCTTCCTCGCTGGTTCACCTACCACAGTCAACAGGAAACTAACTTTTTGAGCATCCTCCTCTCGAGGCCAACGGTCCATTCCGATGGCTTTAGAGTAATCGTTCCAGCTCTTTTCAAAGAACTCGAAATTTTCTTCCATATCCCCCACCAAGGCCAATGGTGAGGGTTGCGGCACCTGCACACTGGCAGCGCACAGTTGCTGCATTTGCTGCTGCTGACGCTGCTGCGGTTGCAAAGCACCTGACGATGCATGCACTTCCTGCAACATCTGACGCATTACGTTGGTCTGATGCTCCAGGAACATCTTGAACTGGCTGGCATCCATTTTGATGAGGACTACCACCAATTTTCACTTATAAAGCAAAATGGCCGCCAAGCGACTCACCAAAACGATTGCTTTTCAACGAAATGTTTGATTTTTTCCGCGATTTAACTTCACCGTCACAGAAAAACCGATTTGAAGCTCGCGATAGCTTCTGACGCCATGTTTTGGTGTTAATAAAACGCGTAACTAACTTTTTACTTATCTTTATTAACAACCATAATATTCACATTATAAACTACCTAATTTCGGCACAATGTGCTGAGTGACTTACCCCTTGGCCGAATCACAGAAGGCCGAATCACAAAAGGCCGAAAAAGCTCAGGAAAGCGACAAAGTGGACTGGTGCGAGCGCGCGCTTTTTGTTTGATTTGATTCGGGCTTTTGTTAATTTGCTTTTAATAAATTAAATTACACTATTAAAGTAAAGTTACAATAATTATTATTCTGCATCTTCGAAATATAATATAATGGAAGCTACTTAATAGCCATTCGATTTCCATAATGAAAATTAAAAAAAACTTAAAATTTGGTTAGCTTTAGTTTTATATTTGTTTGAGTGTTTAGCGTCGATTTAATGGCTTCGTTTGTTGTGAATGCGGACAATTCAACGAGGTGACTCAGTTGCAAGAGCAGAAAGGCTTCAGATGCTGAATGAGAGATAAAGTGATAGTTAGCTTTATTTTTCCAGATGAGCATTCAATGACGATGATGGCTTCGTTCAAGATGAAATTCAGTATGAGAGGTATTCTCAAAACGCAAATCGTCATTAGCAGCGATATTGCTCTTGGTCCGTTTTGCTGAACGTTCTAGTTACACATTCAACTGCTTGCGCAACTCGCTACCCAATCAGAATGTTGTGTATGCGTAAATAAACCGTTCACCTCTATCGCATCTCCCATGTCCTTACACGGGAAAAAAAGAGTTCCCATATTCGTGAACCACAGCCGTGAACTATAGTTCACGGTGTATACTTGAGAAAATTTTGTTCTGGATAGTTGGCCGTGATTTTTAGTTCACGGTCCGTTCCCGTTTTCGGGAACGGATTTTTTTCCGAGTACCATTCTCTTACCCGCAGCTTACCACTTACTGGTTTTTCCCAAAAAGTAAGCAAGTGGGAACACCTCTATATATAATTTCATCTTGGCTACGTTTTGTGTGAATGCAAACCATCGAGCCGAGTCGGTTCTGCGAGCAGGAAGGCCAACAGATTGTTTGGATGCGGTTTTCAACAAATTCAGTTTTTTTCGGCCTTTTTGGTTTTCGGCTTTTTCGATTTTAGGCCTTTTGTGGTACCTTAGAATATTTGTTGATCCATCATGGTAACATATTTTCGGCCTTTTGTGATTCGGCCTTCTGTACGGGTCCCATGATAACATTGCTGGGTATCTGCTAATTGGGTAATCTTATGAAAACACTCAGCACAAATATTTTATTACCTCTCACCCCAGCAGGCCTGGTTTCAATCCCAGTCGGCACCGCCGGGATGTTCTGAAGCATAACATCTCTAATCACGCCATCCTTCGGAAAGGAAGTAAAGCCGTTGGTCCCCGATTCATGAGTTGATGGGTCGATAGGTAGGGTCCAGATGTGGGAGCTGCCTCCCTGGCGTCGGTAGCATTGGTGCTCAGCACGGAAAACATACCAAGGAAAAAAATATTATTCCATCATTATGTAAGCATTATTCAATACGCTCCTCTCCCACTATACAACTTTGTAAATATTTTGCAAATACCCCTCTTGCTTAGTAAGATCTTACTTTAAATAATTCGTCTTCATTTATTATCAACATCCTTGGTTAAGATATTGCTGAAGTACCCTCCATCTCCGAGTTAAGACAAACCCCAACTTTAAACACACCTCTCCATAAAGGATGTATGCTATATTTCAAAAAGAATCACGCTTTTGAAACGAAAACACTGTTTTGTTTGCTACGCGCTTTTTTAGCATTATCACAAGGCCACAGATGCAAAATGGCGTCTGTAAAGATGCGCATATGCAATATTTTTTCTCTAATGTTTATCATCGTTTATGTTTATGCAGCACTCATTTTGAAACCATAAACAATGGAGCTTGTAGCGAATTAGACTGAAATTACCATTTGATTGGCAAAAATCTTTCGGTTTGTTCCGAATGAGCGGAACAAGAGCGGAGCATGCACAGAATTATGTCGGTTTACGTTACACTCTTTCAGATTTTTTAAACTGAGTTTTTACAGAAGTTCAGGGATCTTCTTAGAAATCAATTAAAATTCATAAAAGCTATGACTTAAGAAATGGATTAACCGGAACTTCGAGATTGATGGGAAACTTTTTAAAAGTTTAGCGAATGTCATATAACTTCATGAAACCTCATAAATCTTTAGAAGTTTCATAGTACCTTGAAAACTTTTTAGAACTTCATGAACTGCGTAGAAGTTCTGGATATTTTCTAGAAATGCAACAAATTGTATTGCAGTTCTGTTATTAGTGTAAAAGCTCAGCGAATTTCATAGAAATCCAGTGAACTAGGCGTAAAACTTTAGTGATCAGCGATCTTTGTGCACGTTGAGCGAATTAAGTTGAAAATCGAGAACAAAAAATTTCTTTGAAGTGCAAGGAATTATGTGGAAGTTGAGGTAACTTCATAGCAGCTCGGCTAGAATAATTCAGCGAGTTTTGTAGATGGGAATATTGCTATAAACAAATCGTGTAAGTTCATAAAACTTCGTATAAGTGGACACATTTTTCGAGCAATTCGCAGAACTTTCCACAAACATAGGGAACTTCATAGAGGCTCAGAGAAAGGTTAAATTGATTGGGAAGAAGTTCAGGGAGCTATATTTGAAATCAAAAAATTGAATCAAAAAGAAACTTTGTAGAAGTACATGGAACTTCATATAAGCTTTATAGAACATAGTTCTTCTTTCCTTTATTTAACGTCGGACTCTGTTCCGCAATCTAGTGCCAATCACCGACGGACATCGATTGCCATCCATTGACGACAATCGAATGTGCAGGAAGGCAGCTTCCACACCTGCGTAGGATATCGCACCCATTCAACACACATGGGCCGGGACCAACGGCTTTACTTCCCTTCCGAAGGAAGACGTGACCAGAGATTTTTATGCCTCAGAAAAATCCCACCGACCTCGGCTGGGATTGAACCCAGACCCATCGGGGTGTTAGAAAGCAGTCACGCTTACCACTACACCACCACACTAGAACATAGTTGATATCCATGGATTTTCAATATGATTTCAATAAAGTTCAATAAAGTCTTGAAAAATGCAAAGGTTTATTCAGTATTATTCTGAAGATGAGAAACAATTTTTCACAGAATTTTAAATGTTTTTAAAACTAAGACATAGAGGAAATGGCTCTACTCTAATGTCTATGGATGTAAGATTGGGCGCTAAAAATCTGCTATTTATCAATTTTATCTAGATGAACGCGTCATTGGGGCGGTACTAATGGATATTTTTGGACGCTATTGAAAATTTAGTCGATTGCTGAATTTATGTATGGGCATAAATTAGGGGCTTTTAGGACGACATTACATCCATTTCCCCTATATTCAAAACGAATGAAGTGATTTAACCTTTATATGAGAAGTTTTCGTATAGGCCGTGAAAAGACAATTAATTAAGAAATTCAAAGTCGCAGCAGAGTTTATTTTAGATAATCTTCAAAAAATATCGCATTCCTCCATGCAATGCAAAAATTCTTAAATTCTCTGGGGTGTGCCAGCCCTAGGTCTGGAGGGGCGCCCCCTTATTTACGCCAATGCGGGGTGGTACCAGCACCATGCCGGGTTTCTAATATGGAGGCAGACGTTCTGTTGAACCACCACAAAGGACATGTCATCATCCATTGATAATAAAGCGAATCCAGTACAAAGAATATCCGGTTTTAATCTACTTTCTACTACACAGTAGGTTAGGATTCTACACACGAATAACCATATATGTCCATTTATGTGTTAAATGCGTTCCAAAGATAAAGCTCTCTTCCTCTTTCCGCGTTACTATATAATACATTCACTACATTATGGAAAACATTGTTTGTATATATAAAAATAGAACCGCAATCAGTTGTAAAACTCGCGCTCTTAAATATAGGCACGCCGTACTTCTAGCTGTATTTTCAAGTTCGATTCTGTGAATTCGATATTTATAGCACATTAAAATGAGATTAAGTTTCTGTTCTACACTTTCGTTTTTGAGTATGATTCAGTTGATCGTGTGCGCATATCGTCAACTGTGAGTTTTTTCTTCTTCTAATTTCCTCTGTGTTCTCTTAAAATCAGTCTTAAACCTTATTGTTAGAGGATTGTCTCCGAGTATGCTGGACAATGCGTGGTTTCAATAAATGCTTGCTGCTCTTTGATTCGTTGCGCGTTCGATTAATTGTGTGCACAATTGGTTCATCATGCAAAAAGGCACCGGTCATTTCGTGTAAAATTTTATTTGTGGAGAATCTCGCAGAGATTCATAATGTACTCTATAGATCTACTCTTTAGTTTGTATATCTTAAAGTAAAAATCAAAAATTGATCCTAGAAAATATTCGAATATGAGTATTTTTGTTCAGCTCCGTTTACTACTTGGATGGAAGGAGTAGCTGTTTTAGCTTTTCCGCTTCAGTCAAGCTTACGTCGGCGATTTCACGTTTTCGAGGGGCTTGCACAACCTGGGGCACCAGTTTGGGCCCTAGCAGTTGGTGGTTTTCCGTGTAAATGTCTTCGTTTTCTTCGTTTTTCAGCGCCTTCTCGCTGAACTCGAACGAAGACATGGTTTGGGTGGCGATTTCGTAGGCATTAGCTTGAATGCCAACGTCGCAACTGCGCTTGGAGTTGCGGGAGTTCGTTTTTGTCAGCGATATTCCCGAATAGGAACTGTTCACATTCAGCGGGGACAGTTCCGAGCAGAAGGATGTGAAGGAGGAATCGTTGAAATCGGTGATATTGTTTCGCTCGATCAGTTGCAACTCTTTCTCGCGCTCTTTTTCCCGTTCTTTCTCTCGTTCTCGTTCCCGAGCTTTCTCCTTCTTTTCGTTACGTTGACTCTTCTGGCTAGCCCGAGAGTGTTTCTGGGACTTTCTTATGGTTCCTTGTCTGGAGGAGGACTTCTTACTGCGTACACTTTTGGAACTGTTCTTACTGCCTCGGCCTCCCTCCTTACTGCTTTTCATTCCATCTTTCATGCTGGTAAAATCGTCCCGGCTGGACTGCTTCAGGTTCAGCTTCTCATCGTCACTGGAGTGGTATTCTTCGATTTGACAGCTGGTGTTGTGCGAGTCGGCACGGTTCGACGTTCCAGCTGCTCCGATGTGCTTCAGAATCACATCAAATTTCGAATCCTGAACTTTGAAGGACGCATTGGACTCGTTATCATCCTCCGAGGTAGTTAGCCCGGGTTGATGCAAAAACGGCAGCAGCAATTTGCCATTGGAAATAAAATTATTCAGCTGATCCGCATCCATGCCACCGATACCTGTTCTCCGTTGCATATTGTTAGCTCCGAAAAATTGGCTATTTCCACTGGTGGACGAATGTCTACCCTTTTGAATTGCTGTAATGATTTGAGATTCCACCGAGGTGCTACTCTCTTTCCGACTATATCTACGGCCGGATGCCGTGAAATCTCGCCGCCGGTGGTGTCTATTTTTTTGATGATGCTTGCTACTACTTACTCCACTGCGGCTTCTGCTGGCCACCTTGGTCTTCATCTCGGCAATCTTCACCGAAACCTGAGAATCTATGGAATTCCTCCTCGACTCCACCGACACGTGCCTCACACTGAAGCTGATCTCCGAATCTACCGAATTTTTCCTTGGATCATGGCTGGAGCTAGTTGCCGCCCCGGTCAAAGCGTACCTCCTGTTCACAAACCGTGGCAAATTGTTCGCCCACGTCGAACTGAAGTCGTGACTCCCAATCGCCGAATTGATATCGAACTTCAAACCAACGGGGTCGGTGTGGGAGTTGTGAAAGGAGATCGACAACCGTCCCTGGTTTTGAAATTCCTTCCTCTTCGCAAAAGCCTGAGCGATAACTTTATGCTTCTGTAGTTTCACGGGTTCCTCGACATCTGGTCGGAAGCGCCTCCGAAAATAACGACCCCACGTTTCCAAGGTGGAGTTGGTCCAAACCCACGAAGACATCACGATACCCGACGCGAATAAGCAAATCAGATGAAGCTGTAGGATTGCCACACTTGGGCGACTCTGAAGCTTGCAAGCGCTCGTCACATCCGTGTACGTCGACGAAATCTGACAGATGATGTACTTTTTAAGCGCCAGTGCCCAACTTTCAGTGTTTTTGAACTCATGAATGTGGCAGAAAATGGTCGCAACGATGAACACAAACGTGAACATTGTACAGATTCCCATCCGGACAATTGTCTGTCGGATTTTCTTACTAGCACGAGCCGAGATAATCTCCTTGCTAGATATCTTCAGCTTGATCAGCGTCAGCAGTCCTCTTCCTAGGAAGTACCCTCCAATGAACAGAACACAAGCCACCGGCCCCAGCAGAAAGCCCGCCCTAATCGGATGATTCAAGTACCCCACGAAGCAAATCCCAACCGTACTGTTTCCATCGATCTCACTCAGAGCCATGATCGTTATCGTCAGCACCAGCGGCAGTGACCACGCAATCAAATGGAAGTACGATCCCTTCTTATCGATCCTATCCTGAATTTTCCCAATAGCTTTGAAGCTCATATGCCACACGTAGGTGAAAATGACGAACCAAACCATGGCCGCAATTAGGAAGTAGTAAACCAAAATAAACACCACAATACACGAGAGATTCTCACCGGCACTGGGTTCCGAAATGCGCAGAGTTCCATCCTTGCGACAGACGATGTCCTCCCGACTACCAGGAGTGAATTGAGCAAGCCAGCTAAAATACAAGAAACTTTTTAGTATCAATCCGCATACAAACCTACATTTGACGCAGGCCACTTACCCCAAACAGGACACCATGAAGCAAAAGTTGATGTAGAAGATCACCAACGCCGGATACTTGTTCGCATTGTGCCAATCGATCGCAAACGTTGCGATCGTAAACAAATTGAACGTCAGGCAGACTCCGGCACCCCACGCGATCAACTTGTGAATCTGACGGTGCTCGTGATCGGTGAACAGTGGATCTTTGCACTGCAGGCCGCATCCCTCGATATCTACAATCAACCAAACATTGAGACCCATAATTTCTCACCACGAAAAGCTTCAGCATCGACACCAACCTTTATAGTAATTCGCAGGGGAATCCGCTCCGACCAGCGGTTTCAGACACTGCCCCGTAGCGTTGAACTTCATCTCCTCCCGCACGTCATTGTTGCACTTCGACGGATACAGCGTTTCGTTGCACTTGAGGAACTCCGGAAAGTAGCTGGTATTGTACAGTATCCGACACGGTTCCAGCGTGATCTTGCACATCTCCAACGAAGGCAGGTACACCATGTCCCGTCCGTTGATCTTTTCGCATTTGGGCGTAAAGACTGCACACAGGAACGGTTGGATGACGGCCCAACACTTTGGCACGTGGCGCAGCGCATTGTACTGGTACAGTTTGTCGTGGGTTTGCTCCTGGCTGAACGAATCGGTCAGATCGAGACTGATGGAGGAATACGGCAGCGGCGAGCCCAGGCAGGACTTGTGCCGGATCGGTTCACACTTGGCCGGCCGTACGCAGTAGATGTAACGCATCTCGCGGCCATCGAACCAGGTTTTGTCATCTTTGCCTTTCTTGCCGTGCATCCGGAAGTTCCGCGTCCCATTGATCGGTTCCAAGCGGGGCGACTCCGCCGGGGTTATGAGATTCGTGGACGGTGTGAATTCTTTCGCGTAGTTTTGGGTTCCGAAAAGAACTAAGGCGACCAAGATCACCGCACACAGGTGGGATGCCATTCTGTATGGTACTGGAACGGTGCAAGTGAGGAAGAAGAATAAGCATTTTTTTTGCATTTGAATTTAATTTTAATTTACAAAATACGTTGTCCGTTTGATTTTTTTTTTAATTTAATTGCGTGCTGCAGTATAAAATCTTACACCCTGTTTATTTTTTATATAGCTTCTTTTTGTGATGTGTATTACTATTTTAGGTTAGGTTTCATTGATTTCGGTTTAGATTTGTATGTCAGATATTGAAACCCGTAACATAATGAAGAATTCAAGGACATAAAATAGAAACAAAAAAGGTTATGACTAGCGATTAGTGGGTTGGAAAGGAAGGTACTCTAAATGTCTTAGCTACTAAGTTGATTAGTTAAGGCTAACCTTTAGTTCCAGACTGTGGCAAAGCGTAAGTCTTTCACGATTTGACACTTCGGAGTCCCTTCGAATCTCGAAAAGGATTACGGCAAGGTGTTGAGTTTTCGTGTCGTTTTGGAAGATGTGCTCAGAAGAGCGGAGATAGACGCAAGTGGTACGATCTTCAAGAAGTCCGTTCAGCTTCTTGGCTTCATCGATGACATCGACATCAAGGTACGAACCTTTGAGACGATGCTAGAAATGTACATCACACTGAAAGCTGAGGATTTGAGCATGGAATATCCAAGAGCTGCGGAAAATAAGCAGGAACAACTAGGTATACTTTTGAAACTCCACAAATCATCGAAAAGTTCCAAAAGCTGAACGGAAAGTTTATCGTTATTTTATTAGCTCTTGGTACTCGGGGCAACTTACTTTCGAAAGCCCAGATACGTTTAGAACATCGAAAACATGGAGAACTCTCGAAGCTCGTTTATAAGCTTAGGAAACTTGCAGCACTGCGTCTGCACCTCTAAATGGAAAAAGATGAAAGACTAAGATGACATGCCTTAAGTACGATATTTAAGAAAAAACAACCTCTCACCCCTTTCGTCACTTTTTCTCTGTACCTAATGCATTGGATACCACACAATTGTAAAAACCCCTCCCGCTTATAGCGTGATGTACTTAATGGATGCTCCCTAACAGAAACATTCAAACTCCCGGAGATCAACAATGTTTTGCAATTTCGAAATGAATAAGAAAACAAGCCTGAGGCGTAGATCTTATTCAGGTTCTACACTAGAAACAGTATGAACAATTCTCAAGCTATTAGCCCCAGGAATAGAGTCCACTAGAGTTCTGTGTAATTTTCCCAGAAGTGCTGAATTCTTTCCATTGAAGATCATAAAGAAAGCTCATGTGGACTTCCTACAGAAGATCTGATGAACTTCTACCTTAAGTCCTGTGGAATTTCTGCAGCAGCTAAGCACAGCAGGCTTGAAAACATTCCACAGAATTTTTTTGAATTTTGCGAACCTTCCATATATGAACTATTCCCTGCATCCTGCCAGTATCCTTTAGAATTCTCCAGAATACTAACTTAGAAATTATTACCGACTTCGTCATTTTTTACCGAACTTTCAACAGCTTCGGTAAAACTTTGACCCTCATTTCAAAAGCCGTTTCACTAAATTGTAATTTCAAAACACTGTCAGCCTTGTGGGGCTTCTCTTAGCTCAGTCGGTATAGGCGCAGCTATAAAGCAAGACCATGCTGGATTTGGCTGGGTTCGAATCCCGGTCCGGGTTTAGGAATTTTACGTATTGTAAAAGTCCTCGACTTCCCTGGGCATGAAGTATTACAATTATACTAATGCAAAAATGGTACAAGCATCGAAAGCTCTCAATTAATAACTGTGGAAGTGCATCTAGAACACTAAGTTGAGAGCACGCAATAAGCTAATATTATGCGATAAACAATAAGCTTGACATGCGAAGTAGTAGTAGTAGTAGTAGTAGTAGTAGTAGTAGCAAGTCAGCCTTGTTTAAATAATCGAGTCTTGCCATTGTGGTGAGGTTTTGCTAGTTTTGAAGCTTTTAAAATGCCTGATTTTTACCGAACTCTTTATCTGTCGAAAGTTCGGTAAAAAATAACCCAAGTCGGTAATCATTTCTAAGTGTGTACCTGTTGTTATATATTGTTAGTTAAGCCGTAGAGAAAGACGTAGAGTTTTGGATATATTGGCAGTCCGATAGCGTCAGACGGCGGGACCAAAGTTGAAGAAATGCTTGAAAAGTAAACCAGATTAGTCGAAGCTTCAAAATTTTAATACAGGTCCTCATGAACCGATGCCTGCGGTACGTAATTCGTGCTTTGTAGCCTCACAATTATTGGGTCTCGAATGCTGCGTAATGTGGAAAGTAGAGCTAGATTAGAATCTGGCAGAATTCGCAGCACCACAGAACGAATTACTATAATTTTGCTGTATTCAGGAGAGTATCATAAATTATTCTTGATTCTTTGCTTAATCCGAAGTAAAATGATAAATTTCTAGTAAATTTTACGTAAAGAAGGAAGGAGAAGAAAGGAACACAAAGACAAACAAAACTATGATAACTATTAAGCTGAATGTTATATTAAATAAAAATGAAATAAAATAGGTCCTATTTTGAACGGATTTGATCAGAACCTTGAATTCTTTGGCCTTGCTGCCTTGTAATTGGATAGGTTTTCTAGACGTTACCAACTTATTAGTAAAAGAGAGATGCTATTATACTCCATTATATTATTGCCATCACAAATTTCCACTAGTGTTCTCTAGTTCATTTTTCTAGTCAAAACGTTCATTCATGACGCAACCAGTAATGGAATGATTCTCAAACTTCCAAACAAAGATAACAATTGTAAACAATGTACATACCATGAAAACAATCCTCTCGACCTTCCTCCCAATCGACTGCCGTTGATCACTCCCGGGCGGAGCACCCAGGCTGAACAATAACAATAAAACTAATAACAACTCGTTCCTCAGCCAGCGTATAAAGTTATGAACGATGATGGTGATGCTACTTCCCCACGTATCTTCCTTCCCGTGTCCCCCCGTTGGACTTCAATCCGTACCTTCGCAAAAACTGTTCCGAATGTGGTGTAGGATTTTATTATGGCACAGTCACTATTTCACACGGCGGACTCCTGATGTGCATATTAATTGACTAATTGAATTTAGTGTGCGCGCAACGAGTGAGCATTTAATTATTCGCGCGACTCGCACTCACATCCACCCACGCCAATTATCTTCCCCAATCAACAAACAATGTTCACACATCGGGTTCACGGATGTTTTAGGTCTGTTGTCGCCACCATTGTATAGCACGTACAGGCACTTCCGATTACTGCTGCGAATAAAATGGTTGCATATTGCCTCCCGGAACTTGAACCTGGCAACTTGCAGGGATGCACGGAACACACAATCGGATGCAAATCTGCGCACTTTCAAACCCTTTCAAACCGATGCGAGTGTTCTTCCCTTTTTTCTGATGGACTGTGAATGGTTTTCTTCTTACTTCTAAGCAGGAACGCGGCGCACACACATCAACTAAAAGGACCACCCATGCAGCACTGTGGATGTTGAAAGTTCCATCTCTCCAAGCTCCTCCGCGAAGGAAGGAAAGCGTATATGCGAACACTAACAACAACAAGAGCACACGGCACGGATAAAATTTAAAAGATAAATGAAAATGCCACCCGAAAAATGCGAAGAAGATGAGCGATCACGACGAACGAAACGAACGTCTCCTCCGACTGGTTGACGTTTTGTCGGTTTTTGGTGTTTACGGTGTTTACTTTTTTCCTACGCTTATTCGTCGTTGTGTTGGTTAGTGTGAAGCGGGTTGTGAAGCAGAGCATAGTGAGCCAAAATATTCAGGGGTTATTTTGTTCGTGTGAATGATTATTGTTAGTTTACACTCAGCGAATGAATCGGTTTCTTTAATTTTGAATATTATTAAATAATTAAGAGCATATTTCCATTACGTCGATAGCAACATTCGCAACGATCGGAGAAAAATATGGTTTGGTTTTGATAACCGAAAAGTTATTCCTATTTCAAATTAAACACATAGGGTTAATGTCCCTAATATTGGACCCATACATAAATATCGAATCCATTTTGTTTTCTCCAGATGACGCATTTTTCCAAGAGTGGCTTAAGAATCTGAGAGAAAAAATAATCGAAAATGAAAAATTCTTAAACCATTCTAGAAAGAGATGAACAAAAAACTTATTTTTTTCCAAAGTAGGGGGAGGAGGGGCATAGTGAGCATCCCGCAGTTTGGCTCTGGATCTCCAGATGCATGAAACAAATCAACTGGTAGTAGGTTCATAATCATTATGATATTGATCCTACCACCAACCAATTTGTTCCGAACGGCCGGAAGTGCAAGCTGGTGCTAATTCCCATAAAACATCATGTGGTTTGTGCACAGTCAGTTTTTAACTACACAGCAAAAGAAATATCGATCAACGTACTTCAAGCTGATGTATGAAATCCGCGGATGTAATATTATAGTACGTTCAGACTACAGAGTTATAACATGTTATTCCGCTATCTTGATGGTGGTTTCTGTGTTGCAATTATTTGACAACCGTTATAACATGTTATAACGCTGTAGTCTGAACGTACTATTACATTTTTTTTGCAATTACATCAATATTTGATACACGGAATAAATTACGTCTGAACAGAGCACATAACTCTAGGTTCCGTGAGGTGTCATAGTTTGTTTTTTTATACACTATATAGTGCAGCGTTTCTCTTCATTTTTTTTTTTTTTTTCATTTTCTTCTTTTGAAATTTAATAAGTCTTGCAGTATGTTTTGCACCTCTCTGAGTTTCTAGGCCATCCCTTTACAAAACTCCCTTATTTTTTACAAAATTTCCTCAACTCTCCTAATTCTACGAAGCTTTCTGAACATCCTCGAACTTCTGGAAAGGCCCCCATCACGCCTCATCATCTATAAATGTTCTTGAACATCTGGAAAGTTCCTTGAAATTTTACGAAGTTCAAAAAACATCTAAGAAGTTCATTGAGCTTTTTTGCTTTGTTGAAGTAAGATATCTGACAAACTGCAACGAAGTTCCCTAAACTGTAGCAAGGATCCCTGAAGTTCTTATAAGTTCTGTACATCCAAAATAATCCGAGCACATCAAAAGTACAACACAAATTTCGCATTATATTTCAATTGTAATTGTTTATTTCAGAGTTATGGGATGTAATTTAAAAATTCACGAAGTCAAATCAGTTAGTAAGGGAAGGTCCATTAATTATGTCACGCAAATTTGTCCCATTTTCAGGGAGAGGTAAAATCTCCAACAGCCGATTACCTCGGCATTTACTTTTGCTGATATCTCAGCAAAATCTTATTTGTAGCTGAGTCTCGGCAATTTTTTTACTGAATCTCAGCAAAATAAATTGCAAAACTACTCGGCTGTTGGAATCTCGGCGAAAAAAATTAAGTATGGACCTTAATTTTGTTTTGTATGGGCCCATGCATTAATTATGTCACGCTAAATCGAGCCTAAAATTACCCCCTCCCCCCCTATCGTGACGTTTTTCCTATACCTAATGCATTGCTTGTCACAAAATCTTAGACACAACCCTTAGAGCGTGACATAAGGTATGCATCAACCCTATGGCTCGTCACAGCTTCCAAAAATCCCTCCCCCTAAAAGTGTGACATAATTAATGGACGATCCCTAATCTCGGCAAGTTTTTCACTGAAATCCAGCAAAATAAAATGCCGAGCTTCTCGGTGGTGCCCATTTCGGCAAAAAACAGAAACCACCATCAAGATAGCGCTATAACATGTTATAACTCTGTAGTCTGAACAAGGCATAAAGGAAGTATAATACCGGATTTTGATTTTTTTTTCTCAATATTTCAGAGTACAGACAATGGAAAAAGTTCAAGGATCCGATGTTTTGAAAGTTTTGTGTGATACTAAACATAAAATTTTTATGAAGATCCCAAACCTAGGAACAATTTTGCATCTTAAATTTAGTTTTTTTTAAAGTGTTAACAGCCTTATGAACAATCTACCTATATATATAAAAATGAATTTCTGTCTGTCTGACCCTTATTATTATAATAATAGACTCGGAAACTACTGAACCGATCGGCGTGAAAATTTGTTTGCAGGGGTTTTTGGGGCAGGGAAAGATTGTTATGATGGTTTGAGACCCCTCCCTCCTCTGTACCCCCCCCCCCCCCTTACAGTTACAGGGGCTTCAATACAAATGAAACAGAAATTTTTGCATAATTCGAGAACTAATCAAGCAAATGGAACCAAATTTGGCATGTGGAGGTCATAGAAAGTAGCCCCTTAGATAAGAGGGGAAGGGGCTACGTACAATATAGCATGTTCTTTTTTTAATTGGCGCATAAACTCAAGCTAATATTGAATCCCGAGCAAGACCGGGCACACTCAGTTAGTCAATAATAAAATTAATTGTTTTGTTTCGAATTCGTCACACCTATTATGTCCCCTCGTCGTCTGCAAAATAATAAAAACCTTATCCACGTATAAAACAGATTTATTAGAAAATATGACATCCTCGTTGTAATTCACCTTTGTAAGCGAACAAAATAAAGTCGATATAATAAACTTACAGTCCTAGAGAGGGGAAATTCGAGTCCCTTCCTGCTTTGGTGCCATATATCATACTTGACTTCGCTTCTGGTTTATAGCACTCGACACCCTGGACGATCGGGTACCGCCCCGGGACGGAGCATACTCCTTGATCATATCGTTCTCCACCGTGATCAGATAGTCGGGACAGTCCTTGATGTGAGCGGTCATTAGGCTCTTGTGAACCAAGTGCATCGCGTTAAAGGGGCACGGTTCCAGCTGCTTTCCGACGTATTGTTTCTTGCATTTGATGATGTGATATGGCAAGCGGTAGCGTATGATTCGGTGCTCCTTGTTGTACGGGCAAGTAACCAGTTCATCGTCCATATTGCAACGATTGGATCGCTCTGCAGGATCAAACAAAATGCTTACCAATACAAAATGGAACAACACCAAAAGAATGCAGCGAGGATCAAATTACCTGGATCAATATATTGCACGCCGTCGAAACTTGCTGAGTTTTAACTTTAGATTTTCTGGAATATTAACGAATCCAGCTTAACGTACCAATATAATTATATAGTTAGTCGTAGCAATTTCGAGTATACTAAATTTTAGTATTAATTTCACTGCGAATCGCGCGGAGCAGCGTCGTCAAAGCAAAACTGAATCAAAACAAAATCAGACAATCAAATCCGCATCCTGTCACTTTCCGGCTTATGATGGCAACAATCGAAAAATGCTTCACATCATTCTTCACATAATTCTCGCGACACTTTTCAAATAGACCAATGTAACATATCCACCATTTTGAGAAAATCGAAGTTGAAGTTCGACAGATTTTTATTTTAACTGCTTGGAAAAAAATACATTGCTATAAATACTATTTTTACTGTTTTCAGTGAATAATATCATTGAAAATTCAGTACACGGATAGAAATCTCCTTATACGTTTTGGCAAATTTGCTGATTATTCATAAAATGTATAAGTCAACTAATAACCAGACGCCTTGCAAAGAGTTAATGAAGATCATGTGTCAAATGAAATGTATAATCGGTCACACATACCTTTTATGCATTCTTGTAGGACCTATGTGGTCTGTCTTATGGAATGTATAAGGCTTATGTTTTGGCAAAAATGTATAAGTGAAACACATGAATAAAATAATTGATTTTCGTTTCGTGTAGAAACGGTAAAATTTCAATTTTACTTTGAATTTCATGCTACAATATAGAGAAGAAAAAACACATAGGACGTTTTGACTAGTCAAGTTGTTCATCGGACATGTTACATTATTCATACACTTATACATTTTTGCCAAAACATCAGCCTTATAGTACGTTCAGACTACAGACACAGGAGTGGAACTTCGGATCAGAAAGTGGCTCCACTTGCCATTTGCGAACACTAGCGCACCTAGCGGTAGAAGGCATCTTCTGCCTGCAGTTAAGATAGGCAGCATGCTATTATAGTGTGAGTGCACATTAGAGTGATGCAAAATTTGAAATTTTCGCTCCACAATACTTAAACGATTCCAAATCGGATCCTGACTAACCTCTCAAAATTTGAACCCATTTGGTGAGAAACTGAAATGGCACAAACCATTTGAAGTTTGTATGGGAATTACTATGGTAAAACCAAGATTTTTGTTCATGTCTATCCTATAATTCACCATATTGGTCTGCTTAAAAAACTTTCAATTTTACTTGTAGGAAATTTTCCCAGCTACAACTTTGCTAAAGACCACTTTTTGATTAAATGCAAGGATCAAAAGTTATTAATGGTTCAATGCACTGATGTCTTATGATCATGCTCAATCAACTGCTCAGCAGGCAACATTGGTGTTTCTGGGGCGTTGAATAGGACACAACAATCATGGCTACTATGTCACACTGCAAAATACAGTGTTGCCTACAGAGCAGCGGCTTGATCATGTCATAAGTTTACCAATCTCTTAAATAATTAATAACTTTTTCCTGTCTCGTTTAACATAGAAACAATCTTCAGCAAAGTTGTAGCTGAGAAAATTTTCTATCAGAATGGCTATCAAACTGTTTATTAGCTCAATATGGAAAAAGACTAGATGACAATGAACAAAAAGTTGAGATTTCCCATAGTAATTTACATGTAAACTTCAAATGACTTGTGCGAAGTCTGTTTCTAACCAAATGAGTTGTAACTTTGGGAGGCTAATCAGGACCCGATTTGAAACCATTTAAGCACTGTGGAGCGAAAAAGTCAAATTTTGCATCAGTCTAGTGCACATAGAAAGCCCGTGTGGAACGCTACCACAACACATCGGTTGTTGAGCAGAAAAACGAAACACTTTTTGATTCACCGATTTGTTTGCACTTCCCCTTCTGTTCTGTGCTACAGAGTTATAACATGTTATAGCACTATCTTGATGGTGGTTTCTGTGTTGCAATTATTTGACAACCGTTATAACATGTTATAACTCTCCAGTCTGGACAGCGTTTTATACATTCCATAAGACAATCCACATAGGTCCTATAAGAATGCATAAAAGGTATGTGTGACCGCTTATATATTTCATTTGACACATGATCTTCATTAACTTTTTGCAAGGCGTCTGCTTATTACTTTATTAGTTAACTTATACATTTTATGAATAATCAGCAATAGAAATTTACCAAAAGGTATAATGAGATTTCTATCCGTGTAACGAAAGAGAAAGTCGGCGAAGAGAATCGATCAATGTTACTTAGGACATAATGCAATGTTCAGCTTGACATTTTGAGGTTAATAAGCCCTCTGCACTGAACGAATTTGACATATTCCTGTTATGTGGAAGTCTAATAAATTTGCGCTATAAGATAATCCATTGAAAATGATATGATTGAAAATGTGTCAGATAAATTCTATATGAATATCTGATACATTTACAATGCTGATAATTTGGTAACTTTTATATGATCGTCATATGATAAATGAAAATCGATCAAATTATAATAATTAACTGAAATGGATTTGAAACCCATAAGCATAAGCTATACTTTTCACCACAATATAATATATGTGTCATAAATCAATCGAAGTAAAGTTTATGTGAAAATAACATGAAATTTACTTCTTCTTTTGACACATATATTTAATCGATTTCTAAAAATAAATTCGAAAAATAAACATCAGGCAGTGGGAGCTTTCACAGTTGTGCCTTTTTTTATTGTAGCTGATTTGGGATTCGATCAAGATCTGTTGAGGTGTGATGCTTTCGGTGTCTGTGCTCGATTCCACTGGGCCACGGCTGACTTCAAGATTGAGCTCGTTCAAATAGCATGAAGTAAGAACAGCTCTCCCGACATGGAATGTAGTGCAACTTTATGCTCGTTTTGCTAGAGTGAAGACAAATAGCACTGACAAATTTATGTTCCGTTTCGGTGGTGTGGTTTGTTCAAATCTTTCTTAATGCACCTGTGTGCAATAAATCAACGACTAAATTATATGATTTGATAGAACTGGCTCATGAAGTTCGAATACTACTTAGGGCTGGAATCTGAATTAGCCGTGTAGAAGGCTTACGATTAGAATCATAGCAAAGTAAATATTACAGTAGAATCTTTTTTTTTTCAATCTCAATGCATTCTTTTCTGGAACCAATTATCATATGAAACAATAACAAACAAAGATTATTCAATACAGTAGCATTGTTGTTAGTAGTATTTAGTTCAACTAATCATTTTAATGAATGTACGTTAACATCGTTGAAAATTGTTTCAATAATTTATAAAGAACAATCATGTAAGATGTATTTTATTGGGAGCGATATTCATCCCAGAAAAAAACATGCAAAAACAAATGCTTGCTGTTGGATTTCTTAAAAGGCATTTCTATATGACTATTTAATGATTGGGATAGATCTGTTTACAATCTTTAAACGTCAAAAATCAAAGCAAGCTATTACAATGAGATATACATGTTTTCCTATACTGCAAAGTTAAATGACAGTCCAATAGTTTCTACATGTCTATTTACACGCGACATATCAACAAACGTCAAAAATCAGTAAAAGCAACTCCAATAAAATATACATGATTATCTTATAAGATATATATTTTAGTGAGCAATATTCATCATGAAAACAGGTATATTTTACTAAATTTTCTCATAGTGCAAACTTATATGATTTTCCATTAGTTTCTAGATGTCTGTTCCCACCCATGACATATCAACAGCTTTTCACCATGAAATATATCAGACAATATTCATATACTTCTTACCTTCGCTAACCACGTTCGAAGCAAAGTATTATCAAGTACTAAGTATGTGAAATTACGATAGAAATCATTCCATATCGCAGTCATAGTTTTTAAGTGATAATCCAATGGAATCTATCAATCATCACATAGAATGAATAAATCTGCTGACATTGCTATGTTATAAGATGGATCCAATAAACGGTACATGTCGATTTGTTTCAGTGTGTACACTGAACCAAATTGTCCATACATCAATGTATGATTATTGCTTCACTTGAGCCCCATACGGATTATTTTTCTATTTGTGAAAGATTATCATTCTCTGATTCAGCTCTCAAAGCACAGAAGAACTGAATAGCATTAATTCTTAAACAGGATGATTTTCGTTCTGCACGCTGTAAACCATTAGCATGATTATCATCCATTCTTAGGAAGACTTGAAATGAACAAACCGTATGATTAACATTGAGAAAGATACGGACTCGTCATACAGTTTCAAAATAAATTGTCATGCAACGTTTAAATGAAATATAAGTGCAATCTGAATGAAAAATATATGGAAGCAGAAAGCTTATTTTACTGTTTAAAAATTGTGATCATAACGAAATATATCTCTTCTAAATTGTTGGAACTGTTAATTAATGTTGTAAATGAAACACTTCTGTTTTATAAGCTGAACAATTGTTTTATTCATTTATGATAAAACAACCACACTAAATGCTGCACTGGGCCGGCCTCGCCCCTGGCGTCCCCATCGAACAGTGGATTCGCCGGTTCGGACTCGTCATCCACGGAATCGAACCCAATCACGTTCTGTAGGAACTTGTGCAATTTAGGATGTTGGCTCGGGTTGTTTGTGGCCTCAAAAAGCAGTTTGAAAATGTTGTCCCAAAATCTGCTAAACGAGCTCATCAGCTGGTTGGTCTTGAAGATATCACTGGAAGATAAATTTGTTTTGTTAGAATCGTTTTGATTGAAACAAAGGACCTCCCTCCCAGTAACTTACTGAAGTCTAGGAATTTGAATCAACCAGCGGATGTTGTTTTGATTACACGTTTCTGTCGATGGCCACTAGGCCAGTTTGTAAAACTCCACTCGTTCGGCGACTTGTCGTTGTCCAAAATCTGCTGGAACGAGCTCATCAGCTGGTTGGTCTTGAAGATATCACTGGAAGATAAATTTGTTTTGTTAGAATCGTATTGCTTGAAACAAAGGACCTCCCTCCCAGTAACTTACTGAAGTCTAGGAATTTGAATCAACCAGCGGATGTTGTTTTGATTACACGTTTCTGTCGATGGCCACTTGGCCAGTTTGTAAAACTCCACTCGTTCGACGACTTGCCGTAGTACGAAAGACGCAGTTCGGCGTTTTGGTACTTGCTTTCCTCAAAGTCGCTGACCACCTCCTCGAGGGGGGGCTGGATCGCGAACAATCCACGGGCACTGAAGCATTTGAATCAAACGGGAACGGAACGAGTAGATTTTTTTTTGCCACATGAATCCGAAAACTTTTTTCTCTTTCGCTTTTTGGTGACACTCCCCGTGGTATGCGAAAAAACTGTGTACTGCTATTCGAGAGAGACGCAACAAACTGCGAAAAAATGGTAAGGCCAAAACGCAATGGGAGACTGAAACGACAAGAAAATGAATCGTATGACAGTTGTTGTATGATTTTCGTTATGGGGTTCACTTGGATGATTTTAGTTCATTTCTGTTCTTGAATTCATTTATTGTTAATACCTTTCAAAATTTGAACGGTACTTCATTAAGTGGTTGATGTTATTTCCTTTTATGATATGTATGATGAATCATCCCATTTAATGTCAATTATCAGTCAATCGGGTATCTCATATTATTTTCGATGTTAAAGAAATCGGATAGCTCTGAATGATTAATCATGCAATGACGACATGGTAAATTCGCTCAGTGTAGGGCTTTGCCTATATGTAGTTACCTTGGACTGTTTTCGGTGGATTGTGAGTGTCGCTGCAGAGCTCGTGGACGCGATTAACGTTATAATTTACAATAATAAAAATAAGTTGTGAACTATTTACCTTTTCAAACAACCGACAATGGCCAGCATGCTTTTCACTGCTCTGCAGGAGGAAGCACAACCCGTGCAGGTAACAAGCGAAACAAAGCATTCCAACCACAATTAATAAAAGCACCGATATTTCTTGTTCAGGGACTGTACCGCTCATGGCGGAACGACTACCGAGAGGACACCGATTATGGAACGCTGATGATTCTACAGCTAGCAATCGATTTGACCGGCTACCATTACGTTCTGACATTAGAGGATGTGGAAAATATTGGGAACATGCTGCAAGTTGTCCACGAAAGGATCCTCAAATCGGTAAGTAACGCCCATAGATAATTTTCCCAGAAATGGCGCTGTTTCCTTGGTACCTAGGCATCGATGAAATTCAGTACCGTGACATGCCCTATTACCGTGGGGTTAAGGACGTTTCATGTTTAAATCAGTTAGCAAAACAATGAATTTGCAGTAATTTATGTTTCTTTAAGTGTTATATGATTGTGTACAGTATGTATACATTTTCCCATAAAAATTTGATTTTTAATATTTTTACAACCTAAACATAATAAAACATTGTTTTTTTTTTGTTAATTTATTTGATAAGGCTCAACCGAATTAACTTTACAGAGCCGAGGATTCTTGTTCACTACTGACTTTGGCGTGGGTGGTATGGATGCTAACCACTACGCCGGGGTCGCCCTAGCACAATACATCTTAAAACTATAGTCAAAAGGTACAACACAATAAACATGTTATCTTCCGCTATTCAATAAGCCTCCTCCTCCAGAACGGGAGCCGCTTCCAGTGGTTTCATTGTATGGCAGATTTGCCAACGGGGGTCCGAGCGCTTCCATTGCAGCAATGGACGCAAAACGTGGTCAGCACTCACACATTCATCACGAAACGGTTGCTTTCCAAAGTCGACGACGTATCGACTGAAAGAACTGCTGATGAAGAACAATGAGTAGGACCACACAATGGTTGCTGCCGAGTAAATAGACGATCGCGTGACACACATTGAAAGTGGTCTGCTTCTGCCGACAGGCGAGTGAACACTTTTTTAATATTATTTTCAACCTAAAAATAATGGTTAAACATATCATTGTGCATAACATTGCGCACTTCGAATCATGATCGGTTTGCATCCTGTATAGAACTTCTGTTTCTAACGTTTCTCAGAGCCTTCAATTGATTCAAAATACAAAACGTATGTTTTTTAAAACCATTATGCTGCTGCAATCAAACCACGGTATAAGGCACTAAAAAGTACGGAAGTTCCTTAAATCCGTAGTTTTTATTCTACTAATATTTCATGCATTTATAAAAATGATTCGATGTACTAACGTTTGCGATAATGATTTAGAAAAAAATTCAATATGCATCGTAAAATATTCAAGCTTATTGTCAACCCCACGGCATTAAGTGCTGCGCGGAATTAGGGCGGGTCACGGTATGGAGGAGAGAGAAAATCAATTATTTGCAATAATTACAAGCAGTAATCAAGAATTCACGTGGCCAAGTACATAAAGATAATAAATATCTACTTCTTTGAAACTTTTAATTGTTAATTTACTGTGAAATAAATAAAAAAAAAAACAATTTATTCCCATACACTTCACTAGTAAGCTACTTTCTCCGAACGAAGTGGCCATAATTTGACTTGTACTATAACCAATCACGCGACAAATCAAATTATGTGGGAATTCAAAAAGAAGATCATTGGTAGTCATATAGCTTTAGCAACGCATTGGTGTGGGTAGTCTCAAGGGCCACCCACATTAGATCCGGATCTGACGCGTTGCGGCAAAGTGACAGCTAAATCTATTGTCTATTTCAATTTTACGTCAACGGATCTAAAGTAGGTGGCCCTTTATGACTTTTAATTCCTTTCATCAACACTATCGACGCTCTTTCAATTTGTTTAATATGCATATGTCCCGTTTTCTTTAGTTTTTTTTTTTTAGATAAATATGTGGATGGAAGATACATTAACTTAAACGTATTCACGTGAGAAATGCTTTAAATATATATATTTTCATTTTGTTTCATATAAAGGAAATGGCTCTAATCCCTCCCCTTGGCTAGTTTTTGCACCTTGCTGTTGGTGGGCGGGCTTAATTTCATGCTAGTTTAGTGTTGGAGGCGGTGGGTTTATGGTCGGCGTTGCTGGCTCATGCCGCGACAGAATGGCGTCATGGGCAGGCAATGGGGATTACTAAGCTTCCCCTCTCAGTCCGCATCGTGCTCTCTTGCCGTGCGGATCTAATTGCTTTTTGCTCAAGGAAGTGTTACTACTACCTAAAGCTACAACAAATTTAAACAGCACTTTTCAGTGCTCAACCTGTAAAATTTTTCTATCTTGTTCAACTCTTATTCCTCTTCGATCCTTGTTTGGACCCTACCCGAGGTAATCCTTCTTGGATATCGATTTGGAAAATTCCTCTTCGATCCTTCAGATTCTTATAGTAATCTGCTTGGAAGTCGATTTGGATAAAAATTTACTGCCGCCATGGCGCCTAAACATTCGACAGCCATTACTCGTATTCATCGGACGTGTGCTCTTTCTGCTCTGCTTAACTTGGTGAAATATTGTAGCGAAAATGAGTGTAGTTCGTAAAAACACACTTGTTGTTGACTTCAGTGTCCTTCCAGTTCGTCCCAATGCGGGAAAAGTGCAAAAAATCTTCGAGAACAATATAAGGCTTCAATATTCGGACGTTAGATGCATTCAGTTTCATAACGTCCGAAATTGTGTTTTTATTGAGATGATAGACAATGAAGTGGCCTTGCGCTATGAAAAGGCGCACAACTATAAACACGCGATTCTCTGTGCGAAGAGTGAGTTCAAAATCCCGATATATGTGGATTGTGAAGCAGTGACCGTTCGAGTGCATGACCTTCCTCTGACATGGCCACAAGCCACTATTATGAACCACATGTCAAAGTACGGGACAGTGATTTCCAGTCGACATGAGAAATGGAAGCACTACTTCCCAGGATTCCTGAGCGGTGTTCGAGTTTTGCGAATGCGACTCGAAAGCACCATTCCATCGTACATCACGGTCGACAACGAAACAACGTTGGTAACGTACGACAAGCAACCAAAAACGTGCCGCCATTGTGGTCGAGCAGCACATCCCAAACAGAAATGTTTGGATGTAGCCACATCGAACAATAGCACCGCTCCAGCAGCTCCACCAACCGAGGGGGTATTCAGTCTCGCTGATTTCCCGTCGATTGAAGAAGAACAACAGCGAAACACCGAGGATCATCACACTTCAAACGTTGAAAGCAACGACGAAAATTCTAGCACCAGCTCATCAAACGCAACAAAGGATCAAATTGAAAATACCAACAAACGCCGGCTGTCGAAACACAAGGAGAACGAAAAAAAGAAAGTTCGTGCTGATCAGTGCACCCAGAAGACTGGTCAGCAAAAAGATCGTTTAGATGATAATAATGCAAGTTATCAAATGGGGAATAATACGTTTTATTTGAAAAATAAAAGCGGGAAGGGTTCTAATTGTTAATAATGCTCATCGGCCCAAGCAATGCCTAATAGGCGAGGGGGCCTTATAAATAAACGCAAAAAAAAAAATGGCGCCTAAACGCAAAAGAAAGGGGCAAACTCTTGACCCCCCTTCTGATGAAATTAATTTGAGTAATCAATTTGATTTGCTCACGGATGATGAGAATGATCCATCATCCAAGAAAAATTCTAGTAAACTTTCCCGGCTTAATGCCAAGAAGGAAAAGATTCCCCCTATTGTGATAACCACTTCCGATTTCCATGCTCTTCGCATGGAACTTTTGAATTTCGCGAAAGTTAAGTTTTCACTACAAATTGGACGTCGGGGTGAATGCCGTGTATTGGCTGAAACCTTGGACGGATTTAAATGTCTTCTCAAGTATCTTACTGAGAAGAAGCACAATTTTTTTACTTACGACACCAAAACTGAACGTGTGTTCAAGGTTGTCATGAAAGGACTGCCCAGTGGGGAATCCCTGGATCAGATCAAAGATGAACTGGCAAAATTACTTGGAGTTGTGCCACTCCAAGTAATCAAAATGAAAATGAAATCCCGTCCTGGCGATTCGCGCAACGGGATTTCTAATGATTTTTATTTAGTTCACTTCAAGTCTAGTGAACTAAACAACCTTAAGGCCTTAGAAAAAGCTAGCCTTATGCTCCATGTCCGAGTGAAGTGGGAACACTTCAGGAAGACTGGAGGAAATTTCCAAAACCTCACTCAGTGCCGTAAGTGCCAGGGATGGGGTCACGGAACTAAAAATTGCTACATGCCAGCTAAATGCATGAATTGTGGTGATTCCTCTCACGCAAAGGACGACTGTCCTGTGAAGGAAGATCCAAAGAAATTTATTTTTTCAAATTGTGGTGAAAACCACAAATCCAATTTTTGGGAATGTAAGACTCGCAAAGCAATCCTACAATCTCGTTCTAAACGACAGGTAGGAAACGCTCCACGTTTCCGACCAGGTACAAATTCCTCTGCTGTTAACAATGGTCAGCGAGGAACAAATTCTACATTCGTACCCGTAGGTACAAATATCACCCCTGCTTCAAATGTTTCATCTGTACCTACTCCCCTCGCTGCTAACAATGTTCAGCGAGTTAATGGAGCTACCTATGCTGCTATTGCATCGGGTAGAAATCAAAATACTAACCAAAATAATTCTAACGGAAATTTTGATAATTTTGACTTAGGAAGCATTACTGCCCCTAAAATGGAATTTTTACAGAAATCATTAATTGACATGATTTCTGATATGCTTAAATCTAACTCCATGTTTGATGCTATTCAAACTGGAGTAAAATTTGCAAATAATATTGTCATGACTTTAAAATTCAGTAATGGATTTTAAAGCATTAAATATTGTAAATTGGAATGCTCGATGAGAGTTCATAACGTGCATATTGCCGTTATAACTGAAACGTTCCTTAAACCTGACCATAAGGTTAAGAAGGACGCAAATTACTTGATTTATAGAAATGATCGTCTTGATGGACCCTGTGGTGGCGTTGCCATCATTATTCATAGACGAATCAAACATAAAATTCTTTCTTCATTTGAAACCAAAGTTTTTGAAACTTTGGGAGTTTCTGTTGAAACAAAATTTGGACAACTTACGTTTATAGCTGCCTATTTGCCATTCCAATGCGTAGGCCAGAAAAAGAATTTTCTCAGGGGTGACCTCCAGAAACTTACCCGTCATAGGTCTAAATTCTTCATTATTGGTGATTTTAATGCAAAACACCGCTCATGGAATAATGCTGAAAGCAATTCCAATGGTAATAT